GGGGGGATTTCACCTCCATGCTTGAGTTTTGTGGGAGTAAAACTTTGTGCAGACAATATTGCACCATAAGCTCTCACACACAGCATGACAGAGAAGGGAAGGATTTTGATGGTAGAATTCATTTTGTTCTAATGCACATAGGTCCCAGTTGCCCAGATGCTAACTGCCTGCTGATAAATGGTTAGGCAACTGGCATTGACAAACATTGAGGCAGGCACTTGTGTTTACCCAGAGCAGCCCAGAGGAGTGCTGCTAAAAGCATGGATGCTGATTGGTCAATGAAGGGTGGACGAGCTTCAGTACCGGGGGGTTAAGTCCCTCTAATGGAAGATGGATATTGCTCAATGTTCCCTGAGCTATTGGACCCATGGATATTACAAAATCAATAACACAGTTCACAGTGGTACACCACCAAAAAGCCTGGCATTTCCACGGCAACTACAGTTACATGTTTGAACACTTGGAGGAAGAAAAAGTCAAATGTTCCACCAAACACTGCCTGTGAACTTCTATTCACGTTGAGTTTGCAGTGGAGAGAATTTCTGCCAAGACCAGCTCAAACCAGCTTAAGACCTCAGTGGGAAGGTGGCAGCTGGCTGCTGGAAACACCGTCCAATCCACAGGACGGAGCCTCGACGGCATGACAACAGCCAGCTCTCTCTTAGCTTGTCCATCCAGCCAAGCAGTCTAATATCATGGCCCACCGCCCACCAAACCTTGGCTGCAGGGCCGATTATCTGACCTGCATGCTGATGGGAAAGCCAATGTTTTCCGTACTGGTAGGCAGGCTGGGCACACTACTGTTAGTAGTGGTTGTCTTAAACACACACATTGATCGTTATGAACATGATTACATTCATCAGATGCAACACAAATATTAAGGTCTCCAAGAGAGAGCTAAACATTTAAATGACCTGTCTTTGATCTTATTTTGCCATTCACGGTTTAAAGAATTGGAAGTGCACTGATAACTGACAATGCAGTTATCAGTGAAACTTGTTCATCCTAATACCTTCATTATCAATGAATTGTATTAACTATTTTAGATTGTTTTGGTCCATAAAATAGACTGAAAATAGTGAAAAATTTCCATCCCAATTTCTCAAAAGTCCAAGGTTGTCTATACAGTAAATGTCTTGTTTGTTCTAGCGGAACCCCAAAACATTTACTTTAATATATTGAACTGAAAAAAGCTTGAAAACTCCAGCTTGTGCACTATTTTTGCACAATAAATTACTTAAATAATAATTAAAATAGTTACTGTAGTTGTGACATTTTTCTGTATATTGACACAATTATATGATATCATTGTGATATCAGTGGTATATGGACATATGTCCTTATACCAGTTTTAATTTCTGGAACAGTATTAATTTCTGGACCATATATTGAACTGTATCTTGAAGCAATTTTTTATATATCACAGATTTATGTAGCAAACATTTTAATGCATATTTTTTAGGGAAAAAAACAGTATTACACAAAGGGTTTGCGGTTGTGGACCAGGGATATAGAGGCTTTTGGAATAAGCATGGAGTTTTATCCCATGCAGGTAGGCACTGTAACCATGGAAAGGTTGGAAAGGAGTCACAGGCTCACTGTTGACATGCACTAATTCTGTGAAGCCAATTGAATGCATTTGCCCTCCGATGGCTGAGTGACCCAGCTTCAAAAACGTGGATATGGTCAACAGATTGAGTGGTGTTTGCTTTTCGGACACCGGGACTGTTCGCTCCAGTTAACACTGTTGTCACCAGGAAATGTTAGAGTGAACAATTACTGATAACAGATCTGAGAAGAACCAAGACAGCAAAGTTACCCAAAGACTAAAAACAGTCAGTCAGGAAGATACTTACACATGATTTTGTCAAGAACATAAAAAGACGTTAGTGTAGGAAAGTCAAAGAAAGACAGGACCACAGGTATCAATGGAAAAAAAGGAAAAGCAAAGGATACAAATTGGTTTAAATGTGTTGGAGTTTTAGCCGTGGTTCACATGAAGAATCTAATGTAATGGCAGAGTCTCTTCATATTACATTTTAAGAACAGTCTGGGGAGTGAGGCCTAAGGACATTACTTGTACTTAGTTGGAGTTAATACCCTTTTTATTAGGTAGGAGGATAGAGAATGATCTAAGGATGCATTTGTCTTCTTTGAGGCCTCCCTCTCCCTGTGCTTCTAAAAGTGATTTCCTGTCTCTATCTAGGTCAGTGTACAGGCTTTGTACATAAAAAAAGTGCAGGTTATTGTGTAGTCGGTCTAAATAAAACTACTACATTAGCAGACATGTAAATATAATATCATTAGCTTTCATAGTTTAATAAAACTACAGGTCACAGGTTTGGATGTGAGACATTCAGTCATTAATAGTTTATAGTTTAGTGCCATCAATTTGTTTGCCTTAACTCATTTGGCCGTAACAGATTCCTTTTAAATATGATCTGTGATCCAAGAGTCTTTTGGCCTGCGGGTTAATTGTGGCCTCGAGTTGACTTTAGTCCAAGTCCCATTGGGATACACTCACTTCCAAAAAATGAATTCCACAAAGAGAAGGCTAAATTATCTCATAAAACTTGCTGATAAGCGAAGGGGATTTCACAGGTTTGCGACCCTAAATAAGTATTCGGTTTCAAACTGCCCCTGTGCACTCTCATGAACATTTGACATCTTATTTCGGCCTTTTCAATGAGGCAATAACATTTAATAAATACTAACCAGTGATTAAACAGATATCAGTTCAGTCATCAAGGCTGGATCGTCTTCATTGGCACATTATTTGCTTGTCATCTGATCTGTGTGATATTATCAGATCAGAATTGGTTTTAATAATCATGAGACAATCACGTTTTTTTGGTTCTCATTCATGAGTGCAACGCAGTGAGAGTGGGCATGCAGAAAGGCTGTCAGGCGCCAGTAAGTCGATCACTTCTGCTTAGTTTAACTAACTAATTTTATTGTTTTCTTTCTGTCTACTGTCCCTCAACAGATGGCTGCTCTGCTCACTGGTGTGCAAAATATTGATGAATATAGAAATATGTTTGAAATTCGGTCGTTTGCCAAAACAACAAAAGATGTCAAAAGATTGCAATAAATTGAAAAGTTCAGTGTGGGTGTGGGGATAAATTGTGTATAAATGTAGTTTAAATCATATGGGACCCATCTGTGTTTGCACTGGGGAGTTCCTTTAAATAGCTGCATGCTCTGTTTAACATTGCGACAAACTCAGCATAATTTATACTCAGTGCCAGATTCTGAATTACTATCCATTAAATGTAATCTTATAATATTTTCAACATGCCTGCTATTCTACTTTGTGACACACCCCTTAACATGTGGACTGGTTTCACAAATGATTGGTGTAGACTAGTGTTAAGCAAATAAGGTTACTTAAAGAAATTAAACAGAGACTCATTTTAGGCATGCTATTCTATCTTAAAATGAAGAGCTTTGTCTTTGAAGGTCTTCTTTAGATAGCAATATAATGCTTTAGAGTAATGGAAAGAAAGTGCTTCATGGAAGCCGTACAACTTTTTCTTTATACATTACTGATTTCCCACAGTCAAATGTTAATTATTCCAGAATAAACCATTTCCCTGTAATGAATGTATTGAAGACATTATAATCTTCTAACAATGAATCCCTTAATCTCCTGCTTACATTTGTTAAATTTGGTAATCCAGGACTTCTATTTTCATCTTCTTCTTCTTCTTTTGCTGACCTGATGCAAAGTTTCACCCCACATGAACCTCAGCAGGGTTTATGACGACAAAAAAAACAACTCGGCAGGTTTAATCAGCCAGAATAAATGAAAACACCGTGTAATCTTTAGTCTTATTTGCCTGCAGTACTTTATCGTGGTTTGTGGTTCCCAACCTTTTTCCTTAAGGGACCATTTTCTATTGTTTAGTCAGGGCTCGACATTAAGGACTGCCCGATGGCCCGGGGCCATCTAGTATTTAGCTCGGGCAATGAAGCCTCACCTACTGGTTGCCCGATCGGGCAATCTATTATGCCAGTATTATGCAGCTCGCGGATCCAGTAATGAGTGACCCGACAGTAAAACTAAACATATCTATAACTAGTTTAGGTAGTTTGAGAGGTAATTAAAATAGCTACGTGTGATATTCTAACCTGAAGTGTGTGTTTTGTCCGCTCACCGCTGCATGTGATCATGCAGAGCTGCGTATCGACTCGTCAGCAGCAGCTGATCTCTCTCTCCCTTCAGATTAGACTTCACTCGCGTTTATGTCCATATCGATCAGATCCAGCTAGTTCTAGCTAATGATATGACTACCTGCTTATTAANAGCCCATTGGATACATGTGTCTAAGCATTCAAATATATCATTAACCATGATGTTAAGTAATATTGGACTGACTGCACTCCCTTGGGGAATACCATTTTCTATTTCTAAATAATTGGAAATATCTGCTCCAACCTTTGCTCTAAATGTCCTGTCTGTTCAAAAGGCCCTTACCCAATTGTACATTCTCCCTCCCATACCCATTCTACTCAATTTGACCAGTAATCCATCCCTGCGTGTGGGCACCAGTCTGTCATACCTCATTCACACCAACGGTGTTTCAGGGCCGGTTCGGAGCTGGAGCTTGAAAAGCACCGGGTTTTCCTGTTCACACCGCAGCGGAGCAGCCTCTTAGCTCCGGAATCCGGTTCGTTTCAAGCACCAAAAAATTGTCCGGCCAGAGCAAAAGCACCGCATACGTCACGCTTACGTCGAGGCGGGGGCAGGGGCAGGATCAACTCCTGAACAACAACAAAAAGCCGGCGTTTTATCCAGTTTGTACACAACGATGGAGAAACTTAACAAGCAGCAGTGGTCCACTGAAGAGACCAGCTACCTACTGGGAATCTGGTCTTCCGAAGAGGTACAGAGGAAGCTGGAGCACAATCGGCCATTGTTGTTGTTGTCGGTGTCAGCTGTGAGGGGTTTCCGCACGGTTTGGCTTTATGAAGCAGGCACGCAAACGGTTACGTCATGACGCAGCACCAGTCGGACTCTAAGCAGTGTGAAAAGAGCCGGCGCTAAACCGAAGAACCAGTTCTGAACCTGAAAAGCTCTAGCACGGAGCTTGAACCGGAGTTGCGTTGGTGTGAATGAGGTATGAGTACCTTGTCCTCCTTGCCAACACCAATGTTGTCCACCACAGCATACACAGCGATCACGCAGTTCTAAACGAGAAAACTAGTTGCTCAAATAAAACACGGGAGTGTACCTTGTTAGCTAATGTTAGCTAGCTGACATTAACGTTACACATTACACTCGTTTCACGCTCACCGAAACCTTGTACAGCCCGTTACTTCACAGTTTTACAACACATTTTTTTTTTCTTGACTTGCTAAATTATCTTTTAAATTGACAAACATCATATGNAATCACAATGCGTACAATGCGTGACGTCATTGGTAAGAGACGGCCCCCGAACACATATGGTACCCCGAACACATCTGGTACCGACACCGGAGCTAAACCGAAGAACCGGTTCTGAACCTGAAAAGCTCCAGCACGGAGCTTGAACCGG